AATTGGCCTACATTGACTTCAGTGGCTGAGTTATGTAGTTTCCTTGGTATGGCTAGTTATTATCAATATTTTTCAATATAAGTTTATAGAGGTGGCTATTCCTTTGACATGATTGTTGCATAAGAATGTGCCATTCGAGTGGAAGTAGCCATATGAGGATAGTTTTGTGGCATTGAAATGGTTGTTGAGCGAGACCTCAGTGCTTTGCATTACTAATCCATCAAAACCTTATGAGGTGATATGTGATGTGAATGGTTATGCATTGGGAGGAGTTCTCATGCAAGAGGGACAGCCTATTGCATATGAGAGTCAAACTTTGAATCCTGCAGAGCAACAGTTTTCCACATATGAGCAAGAGTTACTCTCCATTGTTCATGCTTTACGGATATGGCAACACTATTTTTATGGTGCAGTGTTCATGGTGTTAACGGATCATAAACCCCTTATATATCTTTTCACATAGAAAGAGTTGAACTCTAGGCAAGCTCATTGGATGGTCAAACTCATGGAGTTTGGGGAGTTTCCTATTGAGCATTGTTTGGGAAAATCGAATGTGGTGGCAGATGCTTTATCTTGTGTTCACCATATGATGGCTTTACAAACATGGTTTTGTCATCATTTGAGTAAGGTGGTTAGCAAGTTTGGGCAGCTGGTTGAGTGTGTTTAGGCTCAAGATGTTGAGTGTAAGCGACTAATTTTTCCATTCTACTTTAGTCACTTAACCACACTGATATGTTAGTGGTACCTTGGGGTATCAGTCATGGGATCGGACACATAAAGCACTTGGATCAAGTGCAAAGGTTAAGTAATATAAATGCCATTCTCAGGGATAGCAAGCCCCACATCCGGAATAAAACTTATGGAGGTTGTGAGTGAGACTCCTCCAAGCCTTGATATGCAAAATATACATGATACTCATCCGTAGTAGTAATCATATTTTATAATTAAAGACAATCAAACTCTCAACTCCTTACGGCAACAAGTATCCGCAATCAAGAGTCCTCAACCTCGCGTCGTATCGTAGAGGAAGATAGAGACTTACAACCTTGTAAGCAAAAGTAGTAACGTCTAAGTAAGAGGCCATCAAGACCAAGGCTCATATCCACCCATTACGCTAAGGCCCTGCCCCTTCACCTTGGTCATACCGGTGGTCTAACACCACCTGCATCATAGTCCCATCTCTCAAGATTGGGCCATCCATCCATGAGTGATCATCCCAGATCCACTCCTTAGCATTCTTAGGATGCCTGTACACATGGGGAATATCCTTCCCCAAAATCCCTTTTTTGGTCCCCACCAAGTCCCTTTTTTGTCTATGGCCGTTTTTGCCAACATTGCCACTGGATCAATGCCCATAAGCCTGACCACTAAGTCCCATGGTCCTCTGGGATTTCCTTGCCACATGACCATGTCCTTGGTCACTACACTAGAGGATTGCTCCTCTTCTTTTCCACAGTTTGGGACTTGGGACAACAATTCAGAACACTGTGGCCCTACGCAAGCCTCATGGGTACTCTCCCTACCTTCCACCTTTGGGTGCTCTAGCCATGGGCTTAGAGCGAGGTTTCATTGAGCCACGCCAGGTATCCAAGTAAGTAGTGCCACCCATGCTTAGATTGGAAGCATCAACCATTTGATCTCCTGGGGGAACTAGAGTTGACTCTTGAACACTTCACCGAGTTACCTCGTTTGTTAGTCTATATTCACTCTAGCTTTGGACTTCCCAGTGGTCATCCCATCACCCAATAGCTGGGTCTAGCCTTTTTAAGCCAAACTAGCCTTTCCTGGCCAAATTGGCTCTACTGGGGTCCAAGCCCCACACTCTCCCTACTATACTTTTAGAACCCCCTATAGCCCCCCCACCCACCCATCAGGGGACAATTGCTTTGGGCTTTTACCTAATACTTTGTATTATGTAAGCAACCAAAGGGGATGACTCGAGAGACGATCCATGGGGTTCAAATATAAAAGGAAAATGCCCATGAATAAGAGTGCACCCTTTTTTCCAATTGGTTAAGGGTTTTAAGATACTTGGGGTTAAGTGTCCTTGGGTTTGAATAGTACTGGGCTGGATGACCTCCTGGGAAGTCCAAATTTAGAAGCTAACATATTAGTATTCGGACCCAGACTTAGACCCGGACTTGGTCCCAGTCCCAGTCTCGATCTCCATTTCGGGCTCCATCTTGGGTCCATCTCAGATTCTTCCACATGTCATGTGTTGGTCCTCTTGTGTCCCTTTTCTAGAGACTCACTTATTGCTCGTTTCGTGCTTGTTCCTCGAGTACTTCATTAGGAGTTCCACTCCCGCTCTCGACTTTTCAAGTCGGAGCTTTCGGCTCCATTTTGGGGCTTAGGGATTTGTGTTTCACAATGAAGTGGTCTCGATGTTAGTATTCGGACCCAGACCTGGACCCAGACCTGGTCCCAGTCCCGGTCTCGATCTCCATTTCAAGCTCCATTTTGGGTCCATATCGGATTCTTCCACATGTCATGTGTTGGTCCTCTTGTGTCCCTTTTCTAAAGACTCACTTATTGCTTGTTTCGTGCTTGTTCCTCAAGTACTTCATTGGGAGTTCCACTCCTGCTTTTCGGCTCCATTTTGGGGCATAGGGATTTGTGTTTCACAATGAAGTGGTCTCGTTGCAAGCTCAGATGGAAGCACCTTTCTCATTAGTGGATGGGATTCTTTACTACAATGGCCATATGCATTTGCCACGAGTGGATACATTAATTACTCAGGTTTTATTCCACTATCATGATTGTCCAGAGGCCAGTCATTTTGGGGGGAAAAAGACATATGAGTTGATTAAGCACAATTTCTATTTGAGGAATATGAAGGCTGATATCCTTGAGTACTGTAAGTCATGTGAGCTCTGTCAGCTGGTAAAGGTGCCATGGGAGAAGTTGGGGGGGCTTTTGCAACATTTACCTATTCCTCAAAACCATTGGTGTAGTATCTTTATGGATTTCATCACTTGTTTGCCATGAACACAGAGGCAAAAGGAGCAAGTATGGGTCATAATGGATTGTTTGACGAAGTATGTGCAGTTGTTGGCTCTTCGAAAGAGTGTCACTGCCTTAAACTTGGTTACGGTCTACTTGGAGAAGGTTTTTCTTGATTTTGGTTTGCCGGAAGACATTGTTAACAATTGAGATTCAAAATTCACTAATGGATTTTGGAAAAGTGTTGCAAACGCTATGCAAGTGACTCTAAAACTCTCGAGTAGAGATCATCCTCAGACGGATAGGCAAACTGAGCATGTGAATTATATGCTACAATGTAACATTGGTCAAAGGTAGGGACAATGGGATTTATATTTTCCATTGGTGCAATTTGCCTACAACAATAGCCAACACAGTGGAACCAAACTAAATCCTTATTTTGCCATATTTGGAAGGCATCCTCAAATAGTAGTGGAGTTGGAATTGCATTTGAGTAAGGATGTTCAAGAAAAACTTGATTCAGAGGTGACTGATCTAGCCACAAAATTTGATGAGATTTTGGTGGTATGCAAATGGAATTTGCAAGCAGCTCAGGATAGAGCGGAGAAGTTTGCTCATGAGTATTGCCAATTCTGGGAATATAAAGTGGGTGATCTCGTCTTTGTGCAAGGGATCTTTCTGTCAAGTGAGTAACGGAACACCTTAGTGCCTTTTGTGGAATGGGAAGAGTGATAAACTTTTTCATTGCTGGTCCATATGAAGTGCTGGAGTGCATCGGTAAAGTGGCTTATTGGGTGCGGCTTCCAGCTAGGGTGAAAATTCATCCAATATTTTATGTTAGCCAATTGAAAGGTGTACTATCTTGGAGTGATGGGCCCAATGCCTTCTTAATATATATGGTTGTGGAAGATGGATCAAGAGCTTGAGCAAAATTCCCCAAAAAGGGTGATCACCTGTACAACTCATCCTTGGGGGGAAGAATTGTTAAGTGCCATCTTTGACCACATGGTCAATGTCGGTAAAAAAAGGCTCCAAGGGTTTATGAAGGCATATTAGGGTAAAAAACTTAACCTACCCTAAGGCTCATTATGGAGCGGTGGTGTAGAAGAGCTTTTGTGGTAGCTCAAGGGTGTGAGGAACTTCAAGAGGAGGCTTAGTCTAGTTTAGGAAGTAGATCATTGACTTTTCATGCCATGTCATAACACAATTATTGTTTATGATATGAGGAATGTCATGGATGGGGACATAACATTGGAACTTTTGCCAAATATCAATAATATGCTAAAAAATATTCTTATGCTCTTTTGACATTTGTGGATAATAGGAGTTCTATTTCTTGTGCTTCTTCTCTATCACCAACAAATAACAAAAGTCCTCCTATTCTCTCTCCTCCACTCTCTTCCATAACATGCAATATAAAATTAATGGAAGATAAGTAGTTTATGTTTGTTTTTGATGGAGTTGTAAATAATATAAATGTGATGATCTTGGTGGACTTTGGCTTAGCAATTTCCTCTATTCAGTGTTTAATTGTTTGAAGTTTCATTATAGCAAGTCTCTTGTACTTGACCTTTATGACTTGTGTTTACTAATCATAAGTCATCAGTATAGATATTATATATGGAAATGCTGGTTGTCTACGTGCGGTGTGGGCATTTGGAGGAATCAAGAAGGATCTTTGATGCATTGCCGGCCAAGAACATCGTGTCGTGGATGGTGCTCGTGAGCGCGTATGCCGAGAGTGGGCATCCGGGCGAGGCCAAGGCAGCATTCGATCGAATGGCGGTGCGGGACGTAGTTTCCTCCACTGCGATGGTCAAGGTGCTGGGCGATTGCGGGCGGATTGGATCAAGCAAGGTGGTGTTTGATGCGATGCCTGAGAGGAACTGCAAGACGTGGGCAATGCTGCTGCGGGGATTTGCTCGCGGCAGAGAGATTGGGCAAGCAAGAGAGGGGCTGGATCAGATGCCCGAGACGAATGTGGTAGCGTGGACAATCCTCGTGCAGGGTTTCGCACAGCGTGGCGAGTGGGCAATGTGAAGGCCACGTTTGATTCCATGCCTGAGAAGAACAGTATCACTCGGATGCTCATCATGTTTGCGGAGAATGGATTCATGGAGGAGGCGGAGGAGGAGATTGTCCACCGAAACGCGATCCTCTGGGGGGCGATGCACTGCTGCTATGCCCAAAATGGGGATTTGATTCAAGCCAAGAGTTTGTTTGATAGGATGCCTCAGCACAGCGTACTTTCGTGGACGATTATGATCAAGTCATACGCGAAAAACGGTGATGCTGATCAAGGAAAACACTTGTTTGAAAAAATGCCACACAGAGATCTTGTTTCATGGAACGCGATAATCGCTGTTTATGCCCAGAGAGGTCGTTTCAAAGAGGCGATCCGGGCGTTTTGTTTGGTTTGCTGCTGGGATTCCTATTCATGGAACACAATTCTAGTGGTATATGCTCTAGATGCAAATATTTGTGATGCTAAGAAAGCGTTCGATGAGATGCCAACTTGGAACTTGGTCTCCTGGAACACGATTCTTGCAGCATATGCCCAAACCGGGCATGCGTATTCTGCGATCCAGCTGTTTTGGGCGATGTTTCTTCACGGCTTTGACCCCGACAAGGCAGCGTTTGCCATCGTTTTGACGGCGTGTAGCCATCTGGGGCTCGTCAAGGAAGCAGTAAGCTACTTCACGGCAATGAGCTTTGACAATGGATTGGATCCTTCGCAAGACCACTACACCTGCATTGTTGATGCTCTCGGACGACTAGGGCGATTGAAAGAGGCCGAGGATGTCCTGGAGAATATGCCTTTGCCAGCAGATGGAGTTGCATGGGCAACGTTTCTTACCGCGTGCAAAAACCACGGGGAGATGAATCGAGGGATGCATGCTGCGGAATTTACGTGCCAGTCCAGCCTTGTGAGTGATGCATTGCCTTATGTGATGCTGGAGAATATCTTCAGAGCAGTTCAGACTTGATTCTTCACTGTTTTGATGTGTTGACCCAAACATCGATCATTGATATCCAGCCATGCTGTGAGCCGCCCCCCCAATGGATGGAGAGCGGGACACACATAGGATTGGGCATAGGAGAGTCTTCAGAAATCTAGCTGATGAGGAGCATAGTCCTCCCCCTCTCGCATATGAGTCCGTGGTGTTCCATGGAGGATTAGTGTGAAGTGCAGTGGGTTTGCTATAGCCAGCAATGCAAGATCCAATGCTGCTGTTGTGAATCTCAGCAGCAGCACTGCGCTCCTCTTCAATAATAAATTTCAAGCCATAATTCTCATTATATAATCTTGTAAACAAAATTTCGATAAATACTAAAAACAATTCTAGTTATCTCATTTTTTTTATGACAACATTAAATATTTGTACTACATTATTTAATAATCCTGCCTAAATTCAAACAAAGCTGATACAAGCTATTAGTATCATAATACTACCCTTGCATTTCAAATTCTTTGTCAAGCTTGCATTTCAAATTTTCCCCCTCTTAGCCTAGGTTTTATTATTTGGGTTCTCTAGGGTTCGCCACTACTGGTTCATTGATCATATCTTAGGAGGCATTTTTCCTTCCTCTCTAGCACATCCTAAGCACATATATGTCCCACACTGTTTTGGTTTGTTTATGGGCATGGTAAGTTTTTCTTTCCTCAAAACATATGGTTTCCATTATTATAAAGAATATACATTCGTATTTTAGTATTGCTTGGCGTGAGACTATATGATCTTTGTTCTTTTGTTTTGAGATTTCTAGGCATGCACTCTCATGCCTATAGACAAGTATGGGATGACTCTCTTGTAAATACACTACACTATTTACAAGAGAGAGTCATCCAAAACTGGTCTATAAGTGTACAAGTTCACGCCAAGAAATCTCAAGCTTCTTTGGAGAAACTCAAATTTGAGTTTGGCTAGGCATGAGCCCACATGCTAGCTTAAAAAAACAAGAGACCACAAGAGAGAGAGTGTTAGTAATCCTTACATTTTTGAAAAATGAGTGTGAGACTATGCTTGTTCAAAGTTAAGTAACCCCCATTTCTCTGGTCATTTTAAAAACTTGCACTTACCAATTTGTTTCTCTCTTAATTTGACTTTGGTTTATTGTGAGCTCATATTCTTTCATCAATACATTAAATTGGGTCTTTAGCATGCAAGTGCATGCTAGAAATTCTTTGACTTTGTGTGTGCTTATTTTATGCATTTTTAATTATTTTCGCTACATATTTTCATGTTTTGTTTTCTCATATTCACAAAAGGAGCTTTGTTTTTTAATTTTCTATTTGCTTATCTTTTTTTTGTACTTTTTTCCTTCTATTTGTGTTTTGATATTTGTAATTTTCTTTGTTTTTCTCAATTTGTTGAAGGAGATGTAATAGAGATTGTTTCAGATAATGGAGAATCAATTGCAAAGGGAACAATAGAATCTTTAGATGCTATATGCATTTGTCACTATGCTTCTTTAAGAGTTAAATGTGTTTTGCTTTGCATTATTAAGGTGTTTAACTTGAATTACTCCCCCCTTACAAGTGAGTTGGATGTTAGTGGGTTTTCTATATAGAAGCAGAATCAACTAATGTCTCCAATAGAGATATTTCCTACCAAAATCTCTTAGGGAAATACAATTGTAACACAGGGGAATAATGATGAAGATGTTATTCCACAGAAGATAGAGAGTAAAAATATTTCCAAAGGAAAGAATATCCCTAATTCTGGTTATTCTTCTATAAATATAAATGCTTATAATATATGGTATAAAGCTTTTGTGAAGATAGTGGATGCTATACATGCAGTTGTGGCTGAGAGATTAGTTATTGTTGTAAACCCTCAAGATACTCTACACAACATAACTTTAAGGTGGGATTATAGTGGAATCTCAATCTCTTCTTTTGTTGATGTTTCAAGTAAGTTGGAAATAAGTAATCTAGTTCAATGGAAACTATCCCAAACTCTTTTTGGTAATAGTATACCATCTACCATATTAATAAGCACTTGCATTTCTTTTTCACATTATTGAAAAAAAAATATACATTTATCAAATGAGCTATTAAGAAGCAACCAAGAAAATAGAAATCAAATACTAAGGATTTAACAAGTGGAGGTCCCTTGGGGACGATAGGGAATAAAAATAACAATTAATCAAAGCATGTATAATGATCGAAGATAAAAAATACAAGAATCAAGAAACCTGTATCAACAATAACCTTGAGGACAACAACCTTTTTGAATATCACCATCAATTGGAGAATGCAGACGCTCATAGTGAGGATGCGCACAACTTTATACAACACCAGTAGAGGTAGGCCACAATTACTTTATAACAATTTAATACAACAAGAACTCGTAAAAAGAGTAGCCATAGTATACACTCCTATTTGATCTTGAAGTTGGCGAGCAACGACTTTGTTGAAGATTGATCAACTTTATCAAACTAAGTATAACGTAGCAACACAAATACCAATATATAAGATCATGTTAGTCTACACCACATGATTCTACAACTACACAACATTTCCTTAAGAAGAACACAATAAACTAAAAACAACAATAATAAAACCAGAAAAGTAAATTTAAGAAAATGATAACTCAAGAAAACTCTAGCACAACATCGAATGTACAAACACAATTTTGATCCACTCAAGAAACAAGAGTGAGATCAGATACAACAAATATGAGAAGAGAAGAAACAACTCCAGCAAAAGTTGGAAGTAGACAAGCAATAGAAGACTCAAGCTTAAATCGAAATCCTTAAGACCATATTCAAGACTTTTGACAAAACGACCCAAGCTACACAAGTTGGCAAACCAAGCAACATCAACACAACTAATGCCAAGGAAGACACAATCAACCAAAATTTAAACTTAGATCAAGATTTACCACCACTCAAAACTCCTGATTACAAAGATTATAGCACTGACAACTTTCAGTCTTATCTAGTTTCTCCACCATCACCAACAGTAGAAAGATGGCACTCATCAACCCAGCAACACTCTATGGCTTCATGATTACGTATCCAATCTTCACCGGTAGCAAAATTGAAGATGTAGAAAGACATCTCCAGCAATTCAACCAACTTATATAAGTCAATTAGCAAGAAGACAACAAAGAACTTCTATTCCCTTTTACACTTAAAAGAAAAGCATTAGAATGGTATTATAATCTTGATGAAAAACTTAAGTTTCAAGAAAAAGTTAAGTGATTCAAAGAGAAGTACCAACCCGGTGGCACAAAAGCTGAATACTTAGAACATCTCAAGAGCATCAAACAAAGCAATAAAGAAGATATCAAAGACTATACCCGAAGATTCAAATATTAAGCAAAGCACTACAAATATCTACTTACTGAACAAGGTAAGTATATTTGGTATATACAGGGATTGAAAAAGATATACTAGCAAATGGTTGCTTTCGCAAGTATGGAAGAAGATTTAAATGCTAAGACCTCTATTGACAATATTTCCAAAAAAATCAAAAACCTCGAGAAATAGCTCTGAAAATTTTTAAGAGTAGAAACAACAAGAACAAATGAGTCTTTTGATGATAAGGAAGAATCCAAACTCGAAGTCATGAAGAAAGACAAGAATCAAGAACTTACTAAAATACTTAAGAAAGTTACAATCAAGAATGAAATTAAAGGAGTATGGTGTATGAAATGCAAAAACAGAGGACATATCCTAATAGAGTGTAAACTACTGAATCCTAAGTGTTAAATCTATGAAAAAGAAGGATATATAGCAAAGATCTGTCGATACAAAAGAGCAACTGAAATCACACGAGTCGAGAACATACCTTGAACTCCTACACCAACTAGAAGACATTACAATCAACCCAAACAAGAACCATAGTAGTGGTAGCTAAACTACCACAATCAAGGTACATATAATTTTAACCCTAGATACCATCGATAATACAACAATGGCAACTAAGACAATCAGTATCATCGACCATATCAACAGGCATATCAGCAGCCTTATCAGGACAACCAACAATGGAGACCACCACCCCGGCTAAACAATTATCAACAACAATACCACAACAATCAACAATGGAGAGCACCTCTGCAACAACTAAATTATCAATAGTAAAATCAACAATATGATCCACCACCTAGAGCATTTCCTCGCAACAGCTATTAATAGCAACCTCAAACTCAAGAAATCCAACCCAATACCAACAAAAACAAATTCAAGGAAATTAATCTCCTTAGCAAGATTAGCAACATCGAAGACCTCCTTCAACAACAAGAAATGTCAACATCGACCAAATTGAAGATGAACACTTTCAAGATGAACCTGAGGTAAGAGCTTTAACTCAAAGTCAGAAAAAACACTACACTCCTGAAGATGACCTTGAGGAAAAGTCAAAGAACAAGAACTTCAAGATGAAGTGCAAGAAATCTCAAAGCACGAAAGGCAACAAAGCAAGGAGCTAGTCAATGCAATTCAGCAAACCCTTCAACAACAACTTGAAGTTGAAGATGATTAGGAAATTATGACTGAAACTCTGTCAAGAAAAGAGGAGCAACCAAAGCTCATCACCAACATTCTTCAACATTCTTCAAGGTATCACACTCACCCTTCTAGAACTTTTACAAGTAGATTCATACATGAGAAAACAACTTTTCAAAATATGTCAAGCTTCTCCACCAAAAAACTTTAGCTCAAGTCAAGAAAAAAAGCTACCAACTCATCCCATAAGGCAAACACCCAACCTAGCGACTATGATGAAGATGTACCATGCATCCCAATCACGTTAGGAAAGAACAAAGTTACATAAGTAATCATCAACGGTAGAGCAAATGTCAATATTATCGAGTATTCAACCTGCAAAGCAATGGGACTTGGACCAATCTACTCTACACCCTTCAACATCAAGGTGGCCAATGATCAGAGTGTACAACCATTAAGAATCGTGCATAACATTCCTATCAAGATTAAAGATCAAGAATTTAAGGTAACTTTTATCGTACTCAAGATG